AGGTTTATCCCAGATTTTATTCCAAATATTCAGATACTTTGGTTTTGTTTTCTTGAATTGTTAGCATAGCATTCCTACAGTGTGGAAACAGGCCCTTCAGCCCAACAAGTCCACACTGAACCTTGGAGCATCCCACCCAGACCTATCCCCCTATAACCCACCTAATCTACACATCCCTGAACACTACGGGCAATTTAACACAGTCAGTCCACTTAATCTGCACATCTTTGGACTGTGGGAGGAAACCGGAGCACTTGGAGGAAACCCACGCAAACATGGGGAGAATGTGCAAGCTCCACACAGACAGTTGCCTGAGGCTAGAACTGAACCTGGGTCCTTGGTGCTGTGAAGCAGCAGTGCTAACTACTGGGCAACCGTGTTGCCCCTTACAGTTCGAGCATCCCCGGCGGGGAATTGAACCCTGGTCACCAGCGTGACAGGCGGGGATACTAACCACTGTACTACCAAGGTCAGCACCTATACAACCGAGTCTGGCTTTTGAAATGAGATTTTTTTTCCTAACTTTATCTTTTACATGAAGTTTCCAGTATATTTCAAATTTTTAAATTTTACAGACTTCATTATTTGATTTCTTACTTTACTTTGAATTTCATATATTCATTTGATTTTTTGATCTCTACATTCCAAAGTAATTTATGTCACTTTTATTTTTGGAGTCACATACATGACTCCAAACTTTACAAATTAAAAATATAAATAATGTCAATATAATTCAGTCTAGATTATAATAACTAGGATTAAAAATATTTCTGTTTTTAATTTTTCTAGAATTTGTTACAACTGTTTAGATATTATTCAGATTTCTTATAGTTTACAAAATTTGTTTGTTTTTGTTTTCAGATTTCTTGTACTTTTTAATCGTGATTTTCCAACATTTTTGATTTCCATTATTTTTAATTTCAATATTACAGTTTTTTTATTCACAGTGTATTTTGCATTTTGGTACTCTTGTTTTTATAGCAGGTTTATTTTTGGTTAAAATTTCTACAATTCGTAGTCAAGATGTTTAATATTTTAGTGCTAATTTCTTGCTCTTCCTATTTCCTTTTTTGTTTGATTTATTTCAGCTAATATTTTTCTTTCAAATATCTGTACTTTGTACTTTCAATTCTTAGAAAGAAATGTAGTTAGGAAAGGGTTTTTTGTGACCTTGACACAAGAAATTTGTCAGAAATGACTTATCAATGATTGACATTTGTGCATTTATATAACATAATGTGGTACAATATCCCAAGGTGAATCTCAGAAGTGCACACAATATTTGGCACTGAGCAACCAAAAAGCTTGTTCAAAAATGTAAGTCTCAAGGAGTGTCTAAAAGAAGAATGAACTAACTACCAACAGGAACAAAAACAAAGTTGCTGGAAAAGCTCAGCAGGTCTGGCAGCATCTGTGGAGGAGAAAACAGTTAACGTTTCGGGTCCGGTGACCCATCCTCAGAACTGATGGTGGCTGGGAAAACGTCAGTTTATATACAGAAAATAGGGAGGTGGGTGGGGTAGGGAGTAAACGATAAGATAGAGCTCAAAGAGAAAGAAAGACAGTTGGACAGACAAGGGAGTTGCTAACGATCAGGCTGGGAGGGTGAACAGTTGTTAATGGGGACTGTTAGTGACTAACAACAGGGGGTGTGTAGTGGCAGGCTATGTGGTAACAAGGCCTGGTGTGTGGGGTGGGGGGCTGGGACATGGGAGAGTTTAGGCCCTAAAATTATTGAACTCAATATTGAGTCCGGAGGGCTGTAGGGTCCCAAAGCGGAAGATGAGGTGTTGTTCCTCCAGCTTGCGTTGGGCTTCCCTGGAACACTGCAGCAAGCCAGAGACAGAGATGTTAGCCAGGGAGCAGGGTGGTGCATTGAAGTGGCAGGCAACAGGTAGTTCAGGGTCTTTTTTGCCAGCAGAACGTAGATGTTCTGCGAAGCGGTCGCCAAGTCTATGCTTCGTTTCCCCAATGTACAGGAGACCACATTGTGAGCAGCAAATGCAGTAGACTAGATTCTTGGAAGTGCAGGTGAAGTGTTGCTTCACCTGGAAGGTATTTTTGGGCCCTTGGATAGTGGTGAGGGAGGAGGTAAATGGGCAGGCATTGCACCTTCGCCGGTTACAGGGGAAGGTGCCGCAGGGCTGTGGGGAGGTGTTGGGGTGAAGGAAGTGTGGACCAGGGTGTCCCGGAGGGAACAATCCCTGCGGAAGGCGGACAAGGGAGAGGAGGGGAATATGTGTCTGGTGGTGGCATCTTGTGGAGGTGGCGGAAATGGCATCTGATGATCTTCTGGATGTGGATGCTGGTGGGATGGCAGGTGAGGATAAGGGGAACCCTATCGCTGTTGCGGGAGGGAAGAGAAGGGGTGAGGGCAGAAGTGCGGGAGATGGATCGGACCCCATTGAGGGCCCTGTCGACAACGGAGCTGGGGAATCCTTCGTTGAGGAAGAATGTGGACATTTCAGAGGCTCCCTTGTCGGAGTTGGCCTCAGCTGAACATATGCGACTGAGACGGAGGAACTGAGAAAATGGGATAGAGTCTTTACAGGAAGTGGGGTGTGAGGATGTATAGTCCAGGTAGCTGTGGGAGTCAGTGGGTTTGTAATACGATAAAACAGGGTGATGCTAAAGATTAGAATTACTTTAGGAACAGGTGTAGAATAGATGGAC